ACTCGGGTGTACAAGAACCAAATGTCCCAAACCAAAGATACAAGGCCAAAACAACACTGACACAGATACAAACAAACAAACAAAATAACTATAATACGATAAATTAGGCCCTTCCCCAGCTAACTAACGAGCCCAAACCAGCAGACAACAATCAATCTCAGAAGATCCAAGCCTGAAGAACGGCTACCGAAACTGCAACACCGCCTATACAGAAGTCGAATCCGAGCCCGAACCCATCCAAGATCAACCCGCCCCTGACCGGAGGAACCACCAACCAGCTACCATCATCCGCACAACTCGAGCTCACCTAATACCACTAGCCGAACCTAGATGCACCCTGTACTCATCAAGATGAAAACCATGCGTTGCCGATTCTGAAAAATAAGGTCACGTGTCGGGGTATAAGTGATTCAGAAAATGCCAAAAGCGGTCGGTCAGCGAAGGTGGAGGTCTACGAATTGTGCTTGTTAAAAAATTATATATAAATTTTAAATGTAACAAAAAAAATATGTTTTAAATTTTATTAGTATTCGATCCTATGCATTTGCATAGATTTAAATAAATATTATAAATTATTTGTATGAATATAATATTAAAAACTATAAGTTAGATAATAGTATTATGTTTTAAAACTTTATAATTGGTTAAAATAAATAGTACATAACGATTTGATTGCATACGAATCACTATATTGGTTGCATCAAATGTAATAAATAATGTAATTTTTATGATTTTGAGGGATCATGACCAATTAATTAGATGGAAAATATTAAATTTATAATAACAATGGCTTATGCAATTTTAAAAAAATTTACTATGACATTAAAAAAATTAATTTATTTAAAAAGCAATCGCTTAATCAAATAAACAATATAATATTTATTTTAAAATAAATAACTTGAAAAAAAAAGTTTTGCAATATAATATTTTATGTTTATGTAATTTCATATATTATTTAGTGTAACATATAATTACTAATTTTAATAATAACTATTATATGATTCAATAAGAAAATATAATTATTACTCAATTAATATAAAATGTAACAGTTTTTTTGTCTTAATTAACCCAAAAAAATCTAATGAAATATTTTTTCATTAATGGAATTATGTAGACTAATGTCACATAGGTAAATTTTGTTAGGTTTTATTTAATGATTTGCCACATAGGTAAAATTTGTTAGGTTTTATTTAATGACTTGCTAGCATTATATATATAGATATGTTTTTTTTAATATATATATATACACACACATATATTATTTATATTTAAAAATAACAACTACACATACGATTTACTCATGCTATACTATAATGTTTTTTTTTTAACTTATATATAACTATTTTATAATTAAATTTATTTAATTGATAAATAATTATTTTTTACAATTAAATTAATAGATAATTTAATTTATATGTAAGTATAAATGATTTTTTTTTTTTTTTTATCATACAATATAGATGTCAAAACAGAGCTAATGAAGAGATACTTGATTTAATATATTATATATGAAAAATTGATAATAAATATAAAAGTTAACATATATAATATATTTACAATCTAAGTTGGTAAAGTGTATTATAATTTAATAGAAAAAAAGATTGAGAGAAAAAGACAAATTGAGAAAAAAAATGTCATGGCTTATAAACTCTGGCTAAAATAAGAAATTATATTAAAACACAACCATACTATTGTAATGAAAAATCTGAAGGCAGGTATTCCGCTAAAAATTCCAGTGGATATTTCATTGGTATAACTTTCATTGGAAGATTTCATTGGCTATTCCAACAAATATCCAATTAAATTACATTGGAATTTTAATGGATATAATTTTTTTTTGTTTTGTTTGAATTTTTTTAGTTTGATTTGGTTAATTTTGTAAAAGATGGTATGGTGGGTATATAAAATTAATATTTAAAATAAAATAATTAAAGTTGATTTGATGTAATAATAGAAGAAAAATGATTTGAAGTGATAGTTAATTATAATTATGTGAGTGGATGAATAGTGAATTAAAGCTGATGTGATATATTAGAATGATTGATTGCTATTATATTGATAATATTGATGATAGTAGGGTTGAGTTAAAAATGGGTTAAAAAAATAGTTAAGTTAAAAATATTTGATTTTTTTTTGTTAATTTTTGTATCTAAACATCATCTTGATGACTCTAATTACCATTATTTATTGTTGTGTGAATTTTCGTTAATTTTTCTTTTTAGACCGTATTTCAATCGTTGACAAAACTAGGGGTGGATTCACTTGTTGGTTGGGAGAGGCCATTGTCCCCCCAACCTTTTGTTTTTTCATTTAAGTATATGTAAAATTATCTCTTCAATTTAGATAAATAAGTTCAGGGTTTGTTAATTAACACTCCTACCTAAAAATAGAGAATTTAAAGAAAAGTGTTAGTAGAATAATTTTATCTCCTAACTATTTTATAATTAAATTTATTTAATTGATAAATAATTTTATTTTTTAATTAAATTAATAGATAATTTAATTTATATGTAAGTATGAATACAATTATTATTTTTTATTTTATCATGCATTATAGATTTCAAAACGGAGTTAATAAAGAGATGATTGATTTGATATGATATATGAAAAATTGGTAACACCCATTAGACACCTTAGCCACGTGCCTACGTCCATAAAAATGCTTCAGTCGACGGCAGGAGATGATGGCTAACCGTGCAAAGCTCTGGCTGAAACATATCCCCCCATGAACAAGCGTTACCAAGGCTTAGAGGCCATATGTAAAAAAGCAGTCGGAGGGAACGAAGCTTGGTATTGGGCCCAATAAGAAAAACGAGGCGTTAAATTGAAAATTGTCAGCCAACACGCAAGGAAAATAAACGCACACCACTTTCGAGAGAGCTAATAGCATATTGTCGAAAATTCTGCATCTTGGCTTTATGTTGTAATCAGACAGGACAGCTGAAACTTCTATACTTGACAAAAATCAGGTAATTATAAAGCATTAGCTCAATAGCTCTAACATGGGATATCTAATATTAACCCGGTGGAGCAGATTTATCAGTATAAGGAATACGAAGCAGGCCTTGTCGTTTCTAGTGTTTTCGCCATATCCAAATGGAACATTATTTTCTGGCCGCCGGCACAGACAAGCATAGTAGTTGGTCACATTTTGCATATACTATTTATCCACCTTCCTTGTAGAACAAAAACCTCGTGTCTTATCATGGTTTAGTTAGAAATACAGTAGCATGTGAGATTGAGGCATTCAATCTCAGCTGAACACTCTGAAATGAAGAGTTCAATTTCGAAAGCCAAGGAAAGTAGAAATACAGTAGCATGTGAGATTGAGGCATTCAATCTCAGTAGATTTGGTTCTTGCCAATTTAGATTTGGAAATCATCAGACATTCTATCATTCGTTTCTTAAAATATCTGATGAATCAAATTAATTTTCTTTTAATGATCTTCAATTTAACATTAATATTGCATATATAAATTAAAACATACCTAGTATTCCATCATGTGCATATGCACAGATTCAAATAAATATATATATATATATATATATATATATGTTATGTAATATTTAAAATCATAAGTTAGATAATGACATATCACATTTTATAAATTTTATTATTAGTAAAAATGAATAATATAAATATAAACTATTAACTTGCATATTAATATTTATATCGATTGCAATAAGCTAATTTTGCAGTTTTGGTTGATTGTGAACAATTGATTAGATAAAACAATATTGAAATTATATAGCAACTGTCTCCGAAATTTTAAAAAGTTTGATTATATCATATAAAAAAACTTTCTTAATGAATTAAAAAAATAATAGTTTCAAATAATTAGTTTTGACAAAAAAAAATTAGATTAGAGTATCATTTAATGTGACTTTATGATTTGTTAGTAGTAGAAGTTATATAATAAAATAAATAAAAAATCTATAGATGTATTTGATTAAAAATAGCAACAAAATTTTTATTAGCATTTATGAAAATGATAGCACCATGTAATATTAAAAATAGCATCATACACAATTAAAAATAGCATCAAATATGGTTCTCACGGTTCTCACACCAGACATAGTTTTTATTTGAACCAGCCCCTATATATATATATATGTATATATATATATAGATCCTGGCTCCAAAGAGTCAAGCTCATTTCCTTGTCCCGCATCAGGGAAGGAGGGCGGAGAAGATGAAGTGGGGTCAAGAATGGGGGTTGGGTCCGAGGTTGGGGCCTAGACTAGAGGAGGGGCCGAGTCTGAGGTAGTGAGAGGACTAGGGCAAGGGGGGCCAGAGGGGAGGCAGAGGGGATACAAGAAGTGGGAGGGTCGGAGAGGAGAAAGTTTTGAGTGGATGAGCTAGATTTTGGAAAGTGGGCTCAAGAAGCGGTTTTTTACCTTTGTTGATTTTAAGGGGCAAAGAATTGGGTTTTTTATGTTTTTTATGTAACCGGATGAGACCTCATGTCCCACATGAGAGCAAAAAGAACCGTATTTTGGAAAGCATTTGAACTCAACATTGAGTTTGACGCGTTTGTTTCCGCAAAAAACGGCGATATGATCGGGAGGGGCGGATTTGATATTTAAAGCTAGGCGATATGTTTCGTGTGGCATCGTCGAATTGAAGAAGCGTGCCAAAGATGTTGGCGATTGTTTGAATGGCCTTCAGATCGAAACAAAGAAGGGGAAGGCTTTAGATTTTGACCCAACGGGTACAATGGGAGGTTCTTTTTTGTAGTCGAAGTCGGCGGACCATTTAAAGATTCGCATTGGAAAGTTTAGTATAGAAATTTCGCGTTTCATCCAAAGTTTGGTAAACGTATTTGGGTTAACTTATCAACTTTGATCAAGACGTGGCTAGCATGAAGGAAAAAAAATTTGCATCCTGTAAAAACCCGAAAGAGCTAGATTCGATCGAGGGTTATCAACTTTGATCAAGACGTGGCTAGCATGAAGAAAAAAATTTTACATCCCGTAAAACCTGAAAGAGCTAGATTCGATCAGATGGCTTCGTTGGAGGGCTTGCTAAAGGAGAATTTGCCTATGAGAGCGTATTTGTGGTCCTCCGACATTTTTGAGATTTCCGGGGAAGACAAAAGAACCTCCGGGATGCTACCGGAGAGGGAAAGAGAGCCATAAGAGAAGGGCTCGACGGTGTGTTGGGCGGCTGAGAGGAAGGATTTTGCCGGTCCGAGGCCACTAGTTTGTGTTGATGAGGAGAAAGGGGCGGGTTGAGTGTGCTGTTGCAGAGCTTGGGATGGGCTGTGGGGGCTGGGCCGAGTTCGGGTCTGACTGGAGGAATTGGGCAGCATTCGGGCTGGGCAGGGAAGATGGGTTGGGCTGGGGTGAAAGGTTGTCGGTCTGAGTTTTGGACTGGAAAAGGGAATGGGGCGAGGTGAAAATGGGCCCAGCTTAATTGGACCCAAAATATAGAGGAATGCTTCTATCTTTATACATAACATTTGAATATTTCATACTGAATAAAAATTAACAAATAAAAAATACATAGATTAATATGCAACAAAAAATAATTTTAATGTGTTTTATATAAGGGTACAATACGCCAACTAGCCCAACTCCCTTTGTATTATCAAAAGATACCTTTTTTTGTTTCCCATATTTCAAAAATTAATCGAAACCCCTTATATTTAGGTGGTGCGGCATGTGCGACGGGGCGCGTGGGAGCACACAAGTGCGAGGCCTGGGTGAGGTCTGTGCGGTTTGCACGAGGTCTAGCGGGATCTGGGTGGGCGATGCTGGACATGCTGCGAGCAATGTGCGCGGGTGCAGGGCTGCGTGCGCGGGGTTGTGCGCACGGGCTGTGCTCGATGCTGGGCCGCGGGTCCACCAGGTGCTGACAGGCTGAGAACTTTTCGGCGAGTTTCTCGTGCGTTTCCGGCAGGTTATTCTGTGATTTTCCGGTGACGTAGACCATGTTTACAGAGCACATTTTTAGATAGAATAAAGTATAAAAAGAGACAAAAAAATGCACAAAATACTAAAACGACATAAAGATACGTAAACGAGTCAAATCAACATAATGGACCGCAAAAACCTATGAAACGAACTCAAATGATCTCGAAAAAAAACCATAAAAACACACAGGACTACTAACAAAAACATACAAAATACTTACTTTTGTAAATTGTAATAGACTCGACCAGTTTTGTTATGGAGCCATCAGATGGCTCGACTTATGGAGTCATCTACATTTATTCACCAATAGTGTATTGACACGCTTCCTTCAATAAATACAAATTGTACAGGTGTCAATACATTAAATGGTGGATGGATCCATAAGAAAACCATTCGGTAACTCCATAGAATTTTTGTAGACTCAAAATATGTTTTATTATTTATTTATTTATTTTTTGTGGAAAAAATATGTTTTATTAAGGTGAGACTATGATGCCCATAAAGATTGGATTTATATTAAAATTATTTACGAGTGATGTGCAAGGATTTCACGATGTAAATCTTATTTGTATATGGTCAACACTTGCACAAAAGAGTTTTGAATATTTGGCTTCCTCAGTTTACATGAATTTATATTGTTAATAATAATTTCGAATTAGTATGCCAATAAGATTACCAGCAATGTACATGGATTTATATTGTTTGCATCACCCTTAATAACTACTCTAGTTATAAAATTTGCAAATTGCCGCATGCATGCGCCAGCAACAAGTCTGAGAACTTGAGTAACATAGATATAGGATGGGATGGGTTGGGTTGGGTTTAATCGACCCTTCGAATTTTAATATTACACGACAATACTAGTTAAGATCTTGAGATAATTTTTTTAAAATGATCTTTCATTCTCAGGCCTGAGAATTTTGTCCAAAATGTTTTCTCCCCTTCATAGTTCATTGAATACCCATTCGACCTTTGGTTTTTCGAGTTGCTTTTCACAAGAGGCCTGCGAATTTGTCCGACAACCATTAGTTACCTTAGCTACGTGCTTACGTCCTAAAAAATGCTTCAGTCACCGGCAGAAGATGCAGGCTGCCCGTGCAAAGCTCTGGCTGAAACATAACCCTCTTGAACAAGAGTTACGAAGGCGTAGAGGCCATCGCCACAAAAGCAGTCCAAGGGCAAGAAGCTTGGTCATGGGCCCAATAGAAAAAACGAGAAGTAAGGAAAATACACACACACCATTCTAAAGGGTGTGTGGATCAAGCAAAACACAATCCGAGTCGCTTAATTATCAAAACTAATTCTTAGAAAATTATGCGCATCCAACCTCCCAATGCAATCTCTCGTCCGCATTACTGTTAATCCCGACATCATCTCCCAAACACAGAAAGAATCATCCAGACAATGACTCACCAAAGACAGAGACTTTCCAATTGACAGATGAGTCATGCTCTCAATCGGCCTAGGCTTGTTTGGTGGGGCCCTTATCATATAAAATGTGTAGTTCTCAAATGGAGACCGACACGCCAAAAGCCATGGAACTCGAATGTACTCTATTTGGATAGTATTTAATTGTGTTTCGAACCCGTCCAGGATTGCCTCAGGTATGAAGCCTGTCCCCATTTCAGCTCATTTATCTCGACAAGGCCCATTAACTCGCAATTACAACCTCTCTCCTCAGTCCTCACCTTCTTCCTGAAATAATCATCACAAACGAACCACATCACAAAGCAGCCAGATGTCTTGATGAGCCAAGATGGCTTGCCAGCTGTCTGACAGACTTTCCCTTCCTTTTTTTTTTTTGCAATTTGTATTCCATAAATTTATTTAGCCAAAATAAAACTGCAAATAGTGATGATAATTCAAGTACAGATCGAGAGATATCACTAACTCATCTCATTGCATTGCTAGAAACAAACCCACCCACCATCTGCTATTACACTTAGCAGTCAAATATGCATCTGATTCTAAAACAGGCACACTGCTCATACCAACAAAACTAGCAAGAATCACAATTTCAACTTCATTCAAACATGTCAAAAATCAAAATATTGATATTACATCGCTAGTCACGTTGTTCAACAGTCATCAAATTTATTTTGTTCTTGAATTATATAATATTGACATTACTTTAAAGAGAAAAACCTTATGTTTAAAAGAAAAACCCGATCCTGCCAACATAGACAAGAAATGAGCATGATACTTACTCAATACCCCTTCAACTGCACAAGGGTGTTTTTGTGAGGCAAAAATGGACCAAATTCCTTAACCAACCCTTTCGATAAGGGGGTGATCCATCCGATTTCCCCAGTAGCAATAACCACATAAAAAGCAACGCAAAGCCCGTATCTGGGCGATCCTTCAAACACCAACACCTCCATCTGCTGCAACCAACCGACTGGCTCAATACGAAACAAATCATGAATTTCACTTCCCAACACAATCTGACGTTCCCATTCCCTCCAATAATAATAATTATTATCTCCAGACACCATCTCCAAAACTTGAAACACGCGATGCTCAACTTCAACCACTAGAGTGAGGGACTTCCCTGTTGACAGGTACCACCAGTTGATGAACTTGCGAGGATACTCGGGGAATACTGGGGACCGCGTCTCGGTCATAACCTCCGTCTCCGTCATAACCTCCGTCTCCACATTCAGCGTCAGGACAATGTCCCGAAAAATCAAATGAATAAAACCCTCCGTCACCAAAAGGCGGCTGAGGGTAGAGTCCATCAAATAGTGGTGGGTTGGAAGATGCCTCCACGAACTATCGACACCCACGGTCAATATGGCCCGTCTCTTTCCCCCATCAGTATCAATGTATTCCAAGGCCACCTTGTACGCCTGTGAGGCCTCCGTGTACCCCAAGCAACAACACATTGACTTTGCATTTTTGGGGAGCGGAGGGAGTCGCAAGGCTTGTCCTGTCACAGGGTTGGCCAAGTGGACGCCGGACAAGGGTTCCCAACAATTGTACTCAGGGATGAGGCCGTTTGTCACAGGGTCTATATAGAGGCTAAATTTTTCGCGCCCTTAGCACCCTATGCGGCCTGATTTCCCACAAAACCAGTCAGCCTTCACCGTACCTTGATCCTTCGCTCGCCCATACAAGTATAAATCAAGGTTATGCAAACAAGTCGCTCACACACATGCGGAAGCAATAAAATAAAACAGCGACACGCAATATTACGGGCTCACGCCCAACCAATGCACTTTTATAACACTAAGTACAATGGAGACCCTACAGCTTGCATACACGGTTCAACACATACACTCTTGTGCACGCAGGCACATATACATGTATACTAATACCGGCCTTACAGAAATTGGCCTTACACACGCACGCTATATCACTTGGCGTATGCCAACTCTCGCACCTATTAGTACACAATACACAGACTTGTTCACACCCTAGTTCACTCGTCTGTTTGCCTTGCCTTGCACCCTCGTGTTTAGCACTCAATGCTCTTTCCGAGTTCTTACAGAGTGTATCGTGGTCACTCGCTTGATCACGCTCTCGAGTTCGCTATCTCGCGCTCTCTCGTGTGTTGTTCTTCCCGCGCATATGCCCTCAGCGGCCTACTTATAGACCTCGGGTACAGCAGTCCCCCAACCGCTTGGTAACCGCTCGGTAACCGACTGGCAGTTATGCACAACTGCTCCTTGCCACGTGCCCGCATCAACCTGATGCCAACCTAGCCCATGCAACAACGGTCGGCAACCGTCATGCACATATGTCCCACGCGCGGGTCAATAACCGTCGTGCCACGTGTCCCTAGGAACCGCCAAGACACGTGTCATCCCGCTGCACTCAATTGGCCATGCACACTCAAAGGAATCCCGCATAGGCCACGTCATACTAGCAATAACCGACTAGTACACGTGCAGCCCAACTGCCCATTTCAAATTCCAACCGTTCCCGCCAACGGCTTTAGACGCGGCGCCAACACTCGGTCGCCCTTGTCCGCGCCTTACCCGACAAATATGCAAAGCACCGCGCTGCTCCGCACCCTACCGTCCCGAGTTATCCCGCATACCCGCAAGGCCATGCACAACCCGCGGTAATCCTCGTCCGACTGAGCCCACGACTTAATCAACCAACATGATCCGACCAACACTTGGACAAATGTGGCTAAGTATCGCACATCTGTCTTCGTCGCCCCACGAAGACCCGACTGAACCAACAATCCAGCCACAAGAACGCGCCCAGCTCGCGTCCTTCCCTTAGTCGACGCCTCGCACCTTTGTGCTCGGGTCACTTGGACCTTGACATGCTAAGGGATCATGCCAAGTTCCGGGTCTCAATGTTACCCCTGTAACACCGTTGCAGCTAGTCCATGTGGTAAATCTGGATTTGTAAGGGTAGTAGTAGTCGGATACCGTGACACGTCCCTGTTTCATAGACACGAAAGCCGCTAGTCGATAGGACCAATCATAATTCTGTGCTGGGGCATATGGGAAGAAGAGGCCGTATTCGTCAGTTTGCTGGCGGTGGAGGTTTATTAATTCCCCGGATCGAATCGTGCGGTAGTACAACCTCCCGCAGACAAGACTTGCCCTGTAAATGTCTTGAGCAGAGAGGTTCAGCAGGATCTTGAAAAGCAGATCATCGGGAAGGGAAATTAGGGTATTGTTTTGTGCACTAACGCTCTCTGCAATGCCTTGTGCTTCAACTTTGGCCGGCGGCTGGCGGGAGACTGACGATGAAAATTTGACCATTACAATTTCGAATTGGTCAGAGAGTAAATCTGATTGTGCTGCTCCAGAGGCTGCGCCAAGTAGATGTTTAAGGATGCTTGGATACAAAAATTATCCAAAAAATCCAAACATTTTTAACTCAACCATTTTTTTTAACTCAACTCAACTATCATTAATATTATTAATATAATTAAATAATATCAACCAATCATTCTTACACATCACATCAATCTTAATTCACTATTTATCCACTCACATAATTTTAACTAACCATCACTTCAAATCATCTCTCTCATACTTTTATATCAAATCAACTTTAATTATTTTATTTAAAATATTATTTTAATATACCCACTAATAACTAACCATACCACTTTTTTTAAAATTAACCAAACCAAACCAAAAAATCCAAACAAATCCAAAAGTTTTTATATCCAAGCATTAGTATTAACCTAGCCGGCGTGTGATTGTCGGTTTTTTGGTGCAAGAAGATGTCAGAAGAATTGAAACCAAGTTTCCAAGAAAAAAAGAAAATGTCGCCTACCAATTTTTTCTATTACAAATAGAAAAAATATAATTAATTTTTATTTTTTATCATAGATAATTTAATTTTTATTTGTAAGTATAAATATAATTTTTTTTTATTTTTTTTTTATCATACAATCTAGATGTCAAGACGGAGTTAATGCAAAAATGATTGATTTGATATATTAGATATTAACATTTGATAATAAATATAAAAGTAAACTTATAGAATATATTTACATTTTAAGTTAACAAAGTGTATTATATTTAATAAAAAATGACTGGGAGAAAAAAATTGAGGAAAAAATTCCATGCCTTATAAACTAAGGCCATAATAGGAAACTGTATTAAAACATAATTATTACTCATAAAAATTGTCATAAATATCTAGTATATTTATGAATAATTTTAAACTTAATAATTTATAGACATTGGAAGTAAATTAAATGTTATCCAAGCTAAATGACGAAACATGAAAATTTTCCATATACAACGCCACAACGTCTGCCACTTAGGCTCAACATATCCAAAGTGGCAGACACTTTGGGGTGTATGTCGACGGTCGTGATCACCTCCATCAGCGGAGGGCGGGCAGTGCGGCGGCTAGCGTCGGAGAGGATGTGGTAGGCATGGGAGAAGGACTTCCACAGAATACTGTGGTCGAAATTGTGTGTATGTGTGTGTGTGTGCAGAGTGTGTGAGTGAGTTTAGGATCCTACATAAATATATATATATATGTGTGTGTGTAATGGTTTTCGGTCACTCAATCGAAAATTACCATGCAATGTTTTTTCATCTCCCCTAATGACTAGTACTCAAGTTCTAAAATTTGCAAATGCCGGATGCATGCACCAGCAACAAATCAGAGAACTTGGATAACAGACTTATAAGATGGGTATACTTTAATCGACCCTTCAAATTTTAATATTACATCTCGACAATACTAGTTAAGATCTTTAGATAAATTTCCTAAGTGGTCTTTCATTCTATGGTCTTTTGAGCTGCTTCTCACAAGAAGCCTGGGAATTTTTTCAAACACCCATTAAAGACACCTTAGCCATGTGCCTACGTCCATAAAAATACTTGTAGTATTTTCTTATTATGCAGTCCAAGGGAAAGAAGATTGGTTTAGGTTTCAATAGAAAAAACGAGACGTAAGGAAAATAAACACACACCACTCTAAAGGATGTGTGGATCAAGCAAAACAGAATCCGAGTCGCTTAATTATTAAAACTAATTCTTAGAGAATTATGCAATGCGCATCCAACCTCCCAATGCAATCTCTCATCCGCATTACCATTAATCCCGACATCATCTCCCAAACACAGAAAGAATCATCCAGACAATGAATAACCAAAGATAGAGACTTTCCAATTCACAGATAAGTCATGCTCTCTGTAGGGACATTTTTGCATAGACTATTTATCAACCTTCCTCTATAGGATAAAAACCTCTTGTCTTATCATGGTTTAATTAGAAATACAGTAGCATGTGAGATTGAGGCATTCAATCTCGGCTGAACACTTGAAATGAAAAGTTAAATTTCGAAAGCCAAGGAAAATAGAAACACATCACTCTTGAAGGGTGAATCTCGAAAGCAAAGGAAAGAAAAAACAATCCAAGTTGCTTAATTTACTAAAATTATGCTTAGAGAACCTCATCCTAACAGCATAAGTAAGAAACCTAGTGCATCTCTCTAAAGATTAACCGCATTCTGAAATTCACAAACGTAGGCAAAGTGGATGGGTTTAATACCCCTGCAACTGCACAAGGGTGTTCCTGTGAGGTAAAACTGTTTCAAGAGAATAAAAGTCGCCCTTCACCAACCCCTCTTTCTTTCTCTCTGTGGAGGCAATCAATCCAATTTCCTCACTAACAATATTGTAGAAAATCACCGAACTGTTGTATTTACTACTAACCGTGAACACCAGCACCTCCATGTGCTTCAACCAACCTCTCGGAGACAAAGAAAATCGACCCCGCTCGCCACAAATCTCTCTGATTTTGCGCATCCGTATCCGACCTCCAAACGCAAACTCTAGTCCGCATTCTCTCCATTCCCCCGTTGTTCCCGAAACCATCTCCCAAACATAGAAAGAATCATCCCGAAAATGAAACACCAAAGACAGAGAATTCCCCGTCGACAGATAAGTCTTGCTCTTAATCCGCCTAGTCGTCATAACAACTGGGGCTTGGGTCTCTGTGAAGATCTCTGTCTCCAAATTCAGAGTCAATACGGTGTTATGGTCAGCCCAATGCATAAAGCCCACCGTGACAAACGGGGCCTGCTGACTCACCATCTTCACGGATTCCTTCGACAAGTTCTGGCGACTGAGTTTCCTCCACGACATGTCGACCCCGACAGACAACACAGCCCAGTTCTCCAAACGAAGACAGCTACACTCCTCAATCCACACAACGACCACTTTATAGGCCATGGAGGCCTTGGCATACCCTATGCTGTAACAGCCGTTTTCCATAGTAATTGGCAACCGAGGCAGACGGAGGGTTCGTCCTGTGGTGGGGTTGGCCACCGAGAGTCTATTTTTAGGACGATTCAACTCCAGGATAAGGCCGTCGCAACTGTTCCTGATGGGCAATTTGAATTTGTATGCGCAGTAATCGGATACCACCACACGGCCCAACCTCGTGGAGATGAAGACCACGCGCCCGGAGGTAACGAGGAGGACACCGTCGCGGTCCGGTCGCCGGAGCTCGGCCTGTGTGAATTCACGGGAACGGATTATGCGATAGCAGCCTCGGCAGGTGAGCCCCGTACGGTAGATGTCCTGGGCCTCCGGGAGGTACAGGAGGATTTTGCGAAGGAGTTCGTCGGGAAGAGACTGGAAGGCCGATGATAGTTTTTGGCTTCTTCTTATCTTGGTCCCACTGGAATTTGTTTCTTTGTTACTCTGTGGTGAAGGCGGCCGCCCAAGCATCGAGGTTTTAACCATTGTAATTTGGGACTGATTGCGAGTGAACTTGTTTGTGTTTCTGATGATAATTAAATAGCAGCAGATGTTAAACGGGCCGCCCGTCTTTAGGGTGGTGGTTTAATCTAGGAGAAAATTTCCCTTGAACTTATAAAATATTTTATTCACAAACAATTTAATTCTGTAAAAGATATTTGCACTATTACGAGATTCTCACCTATTTTATTCACAATCGTTTTCTATACATGACTTAAGGAGTTGGTTTTTTTGAATGGTAAGTTATTGGATTTTTTAGGATTCTAAAGGGAGATGTTACGGTCTCGTTACATAACCATTAAATCAATTATCCCCGACGGTTACATGATGATCTAATGTTACAAATCCCATGCATATTTTTCAACTTCTTCATTCATTCAGTTTTCTTCAATACGATTTATTTTTTTTAAATCGTACAAAAAAATGGCCGACGTCAACACCATGCACATTGATCGAAAACTCGTCCAAAAAGACACTTGAATTCAGCAACAAATCGAATGTCACTAAGGTGGCGAAGAAAAGCCCGCTCCAACAATTTCCGGCGACATCCATAAAAACTCTTTGACAAAGAAGCAACCACGACGGAATAAAAAGCACATCGGAGATTCTGATTTTGTTGGAGACGAGGAAATTGACCTTGAGGAGGAACTTGACGACGAATTTGTTAAAAGCGACGACTCGGTGGAGAAAAAAAAAAGAAAAAGAAAATGTCAAAGCCGACTCGCCTGTAATTTGAAGAAAAATATCAAGAAAAAGGGGTCAACTCAAGGCGGACATCAGAAGGTATTTTTTGGTAAAATCAAATTTATTTTCTTATTGAATTATATAATATTGACATTACTTTAAAGAGAAAAACCATGTTTGAAAAAAAAAATCCTATCCTACCAACATAAACAAGAAATGAGAATGACACTTAGACAGTAACTGGGTTTAAGAGCCCTCCAACTGCAGAAGGGTGTTTTTGTGAGGCAAAACTGGATCACGAACTGTATAAAACTCCCCAGCCTTCTTTGATATGAGGGTGATCGTTCTGATTTCTCCGGTAGCAATAACCACGTAGAAAACAAAAGTTCCTTTAAACACCAACACCTCCATCTACTGCAACCAACCGACCGGCTCAAACCTACACGGATATTGGGACAATCCCATCACAACAACCGGACGTTCCCATTCCCTCCAATAATAACAATAATCCCCAGACAGCATCTCCCAAACTCGAAACACGCAATGCTCAACTTCAACCACTACAGTGAGAGACTTCCCAGTTGAGAGGTACCACTTGGGACGATGCATGTTGACTGGGGCCCTCGTCTCAGTCATAACCTCCGTCTCCACATTCAGCGTCACGACACTGTCCCGAAAAATCAAATGAATAAAACCCTCCGTCACCAACGGGCGGCTGAGCACATACTCCGCCAAATATTGGTTGGTCGCAAGAGGCCTCCATGACTTGTCAACACCAACGGTCAATATGGCCCGCCACGCGGCACTTCTCCAACCAATACTGTATGCCAAGACCACCTTGTACGCCTTTGGGGCCTTCGCGTACCCCATGCAACAATGCGTAAACTTTGCATATCTGGGGAGCGGAGGGAGTCGGAAGGCTCGTCCCGTCACAGGGTTGGCCACGTGGACGACAGACAACGGTTTCTCATACGTGCGCTTGCAAAACGTGTAATCCAAGTTGAAAATCATGTACTCCAAAGGTTTGCGAAACTTGTACTCAAGGATGAGGCCGTTGCAGCTAGTCTGTAAGATAGATCTGGATTTGTAATCGTAGTAGTCGGATACCGTGACACGGCCCTGTTTCATAGACACGAAAACCGCGCGTCGATTGGAATAACCATAAGTATGTCTTGGGACATATCGGAAGAAGAGGCCGTATTCGTCAGTTTGCTGCTGGAGGTGGAGGTTTACGAATTCCTCGGATCGGATCGTGCGGTGGTACAACCTCCGGCAGACGCGACTTGCCCTGTAAATGTCTTCAGCAGAGAGGTTCAACAGGATCTTGAAGAGCACATCATCGGGAAGGGAAATTAGGAGATTATTTTGGGCACAAACGCCCTCTGCAATACCTTGTGCTTCAACTTTGGCCAGCCACTGGCGGAAGACTGACGATTGAAATTTGGCCATTACAATTTCGAATTGGTCCACAGTGCTGCTCCAGAGGCTGAGCCCAGTAGATGTTAACCGAGAAGTAGATGTTAACCGAGAAGGCGAGAATTAAGGTGTTCGAATAATTGAAACTCTTCCAAAAATAATAAAATAAAATAAAATGTCGCCTACCAATTTTTATTACAACTAAGTTAGGAAAGATAAGTATAATAAAAATATTTTAATAATAAAAAAATTAAATACCAAATAAAAATATGCACTTTGACTTTTTTGATTATATTTAGTATTTGATTATACCAAATATATTCCTATTTAGTATATACATTAAATACTTACTAAAGTATTTATTTGTTTTATTTGTCAAAGTTAAGTATAGATTTGTTTATATTATCAAATCATAAAAAAATATTAAATCCATATTGTAAAAAAAAAATCATATAATTTTATAACAATTCTACTACACTATTTAACAATATTTCTTTTTTATTATATAATAAATAATAATTAAATATTATATGGTGAACAACAATAAGTAAAACTGTTACTTTCTCTTATATCAAGGGATAAATTTATATGCTAAAATTATATTTTTATTAGTATAAATGTTTTAGTGAGATAATATATTAATTACTTTACAAGCTAGCCCTAACATGCTCATATTTAATGTTTTAAAAGATGTAGAAAAAAAACTTATAATAACTCTATTGTTTTTTAGACTTAGACGTTGATTAAAAGAGGTAAAAAATTCCTAATTTTTTAGACTTAGACGTTGATTAACACCATAGATTGAGAGTTTATATTTAGTAAAATTTCTAATTGTAATAAATAAATTAATTTTTGCTATATTTTAGAATATCTTTAAATTCATTATAAAAAAAAAAAGAAAAAAAACTACAATGAAAAAAGCAAGTCAACTATATATCGATATGTTGCACTCCTCAAATCACATTCACAATTTGACTACAAGGAAAGGAAACTCATTGATTAAAATATTATTTTGTCAGTAGTCTTAATGTACAAGAGACTTTAAGACTCCACTTGAATATTATAAAACTTTTATTGAACATTGTACAATTTTCTTGCGTATTATAAACTTTTATTGAATATTGCATCTTATAATATAATATTCTCCGAATAAATATATCTCGTGCTTCGCACGGGTCACGTACTATATATATCCCGTACATTTTTTTTTTATTCATGTATATAATTATAAGCTTGGATAAATAGCCTTAAAATTGTGCACCCCGTGCATTGCACGGGCTCTGTACTAGTATATATATAATAAGAATTAACATTTTTTAAAAATAGTAGGTCAAATTTGTGGTCAAATTCGGTCTGCATTAATTACTTGCCATTAATGGCAAGTTTTATTTTTTTTTTTATTTATAAAAATACACGCTCAGCATTAAATGCATTCCGTGATTTGTAGGAAGGTTACATAAGATGATGTCCGTAAATTGTGGGAAGGTTATATTTGATGACCACTAATCTGTTTATTATTTTCAAAATATTTGATTCTTTTTTTAACATAACATCTGCTTTAATAATTTAATTAATTAGCACATAGAATTAACATAATCCGGATGTCCCGTTTTTATTTTCTAAAATTTTGAAACTTTTAGAAAAATAAAATCGGCTAATAGAATTCTATTAATTGCCAGCTTTTATTTTTTAATAAAAATAAATTTTGGCTCATTAAATTAAAAATCAAAAAATGACTAATATAATTTTATTGATTTGCAACTTTCATTTGTTACTAAAATTTAAAGTTTTAACAAATAATTGCATACGAAACATTTATTATGAATTGTTGAAAATTTCATTCTCTTTGTTTAAATCATAGAATCGAAATATTTTTGTCTTTATCTTTAAATTTACAATGGTTTAATTGCCTAAATTAATGATTTTATTTTTTTATAAAATACTAAATCTTAAAGTGAATCTGATTTATTTGTTAAAAGATATTTTATAATCATACTGTTGTGTTCTATTGTAATTTTAAATGATTTTATTATTTTTTAAAATACTAAATCTTAAAGTGATTGCGTAGAACTAAATTGTATCCATACAAATTAGATAGACAGCTCTTTATTACATAAAACATAATCAATCAACATTGCATCCTAAAATTTTGGGATTATCCCGATTTTAAATATTATTTTTTTTTTCAAACCTTCAATTAAAATTCGAATTGATTGCATACAATATACAATTCATAAAATTCAAATGTCTTATACTTAAAACTCCCAAATTTTTAATTCTGTTCCATACTTGATATTAAAAAATTTGGTTGATTATTTTTAAATTTGTACATAGATAGATATTTTATGTCGAAGTAAGGTCATAAATCCTATCATCTAAATCCTCAATAAAAGCTTTAGCGTGGGATAATGTCCTATAATATTTTAGATACTTTAAACAAATTGTTTAGATAATTTTTTTTTTACATTTTCGATCTATATATATATACATATACACATATACATAATAGAAGTTAAATTTAATTATTTTTATACGAGTTTTCTTTACAAAATAGTTTAGATCTTTAATACTGATGTTAATTTAAATGTTTTTAAATATGTTTCTTTCCAAAATAGTTTAGAAAAGTTGTAGGTGAAAATGATATAGAAAATTTTGGATACTTTTACATATATTAATATAATAATTTAGGTGTTTTTAATATTTTAAACATATAATTTTATATGCTCTTATACAAGATTATTTTACATTGTTTGACTCCACATCTTTAATTTATAATTATTACTTAATATTATTTATACTCCACTTTAATTTGACTCCACATCTTTAATTCTCACTTCCTGCATTGAGTGACTCAAACTCGAGTCTTATTTATAATACTATTTAAT